CACGGCAGCCACCCCAGGGCATGAACTACAATAGATCTAAGCCAAGCAAAGGAATTCTACTTCCTTACTAAAATCTGTTTAGGAGTGGTGCCATGGCTCGGACTTATGAGAATGAAAGTGAAGTGAGCTGGTGAGGAAGGAGAAGAGCTTCTGAGAAGGAATCTACTCCCTAATAAAGACAGTTGACAAAGAAGCTGCATTGAACATGGCTGTGTAAAGTTGTGACATTAAGGGCTGAAGTAGAGACGACTACAAGACATCAACCCTAAAGATGAGAATCCCATCTGTGAAGGATGTATTCATAGAAAGAGGCTGAGTCCTTGATGACATCAGTGGGCTGCTGCTTGAACCCTGAAAATATATGCCTTTGGGTTTATTGTTTTGCAACCTAACTGAAGGTCTCTGTTGAAGTCACTGTTAATCTATCCAGTACAGCTGAAGGCATTCCTGATACAGTGGGTTATGCTAACTTAGGTGACAAAATACAAAATTCTCTACAGGAGGTGACAGATAGACCTTTATGGTTAGCATAGTTTTGAAGACTGAAAGAGGTGTACAGCTGGAGACAAATTAGAAGTAACTGTCAGCCTGATGTTCATTTCCTTTCCATTATCTGCTTCCATTTTGAAAGAAAATATGATGCAAATAAGATACAAACCTATTGTGGTAAAAGAATGTCCAAAAACAGCACTCGGTATCACTCCAGTTTGCTTGGACAACTAGCTAGCTGAAGCTGTGTGACCTTGTGGAAACCAGTCATGTGCCTGTAACATGGCAGGTGGGAAACATGAAAGGATTCCACTTTGCATGACAAGTGGGGCACAGCGTGGGGACCACTCTGCATGTCATCGATAGTGACATTTACTATAGACAGCCACAGAGCTTCAGTCAAAGACAACCAAGGCAAGCACAGAACTCTCAAGCTGAGTTCTTTTTTCTTTTTATGAGACAGGGTCTTGCTCTGTCTCCCAGATGAGTGCAGTGGTGTGATCATGGCTCACTGCAGCCTCATGGGCTCAGATAATCCTCCCACCTCAGCCTCCTAATTGGCTGGGACTACAGGCACACACCACCATGCCTGGTTAACCTTTGTATTTTTTGTAGAGACGGGGACTTGCTATGTTGCCCAGGTCGGTCTTGAACTCCTGAGTTCAAGCACTCTGCCCTCCTCAGCCTCCCAAAGTGTTGGGGTTATAGGTGGGAGCCACTGTGCCCAGCCTCAGTCGGAGTTCTAACAGGAAAAAAGGTTTCAGCACTCTAATGACTATTTTTAGTGTATTAATATTAATACATCCTTCTTTGATACTTAATGGGAGACATCTACATCTACAGAGTCAGTGCTTCAAAGAAGCAGGCAAATATCAAAAATTTGATACTTGACAAGACATCACAATTCCAGCCTGAAATCTCTGAGTATATGACATTAGCATACAAAGATTTCACACTGTGTAGACCAGACACCACACACTGGCAGCATAATATTTTACCCATAAGTCACTCCATTGAGACCTCAGTCCATAAGTAGAAGGCTGTTTCTACTGTTGGATTCTTTACAATTTGTTAAAAAAGCCAACTATTGTCTTTTCTATGGTTGTGAGGTTTACTCGCATTTGTGTGTGTGTGTATCTATACACATATTCACATACATATAAATATAATATTCATATAAGTATATTATATATAAATATATATGTAAATATGTGATATTCATTTTATAAAATTATATAGGCTGGGTGTGGTAGCTCACACCTGTAATCCTAGCACTTTGGGAGGCCCAGGTGAGCATACTGCTTATCCGGGAGTTCAAGACCAGCCTGGGCAACATGGCAAAACCCCATCTCTACAAAATACAAAAATTAGTTGGGCGTGATGGTGCATTCCTGTAGTCCTAGCTACTTATGGGGCTGAGGTGGGAGGATTGCTGGAGCCTGGGAGGTGGAGGTTGCAGTGGGCCTAGGTCACACCACTGTACTCCAGACTGGGCAACAGAGCAAGACCGTCCCAAAAAAAAAAAAAGGTTTTTTTTTAATTTAAAAAAGCATATAAATAAACGTTTTTGATATACAGCAATATGTGAAATACGCTCAAGACACTAAAGTATCAATAAAGCATCACTCAAGTGAAAAATTAAGTATAAGGCCCTATGTTCAGTATTGAGATAGAAGATCCACAGAGCTGTGGGTGGCAGATCTGGCCTCTGGGGACTTCTCATGCAGTTGGAGAGGTGGGAAATACACAAATGACCAGGAGACATGGACACTGGGTTAAGTTCCTACGTGGAGTGGAGATGAGAGTGCTACTGGTGCACAAGGAAGGAGTCACTTTGTGGATCACTGGCTAGGAATCTCAAGGAAGGCTCTGGGCCACCAATTTCTAAACTACAGCTAATTTTTCTTGTTAAGGACATGTCACTTATCCATATTCCAATCCAGGTATAGATAACAAAAATTAATTTTTTAAAACTATACAAAGTTTTCCTTGTCAGTTATATTAATTTCCCACAGCTGCTCCAACAAATGTTCACAAAGTTGATGGCTGAAAAGAGCAGAAACTTATTCTCTCAGGTTTCTAGAGGTCCGAAGTCCGAAACTAACATTCCTGCATTGAAGTAAAGGTGCTGGCACTTCCTTCAGAAGCTCTACAGGGAATCCATTCTTTGTCTCTTCCAGCTTCTGGTGGTTGCAAGCATTCCTTGGCTTGTGACCACATCGCTCCAATCTCTGCCTCTATGATCACATTTTCTTGTCTTCTGTTTTTAAATCTTCCTCTGTCTCTCGCTTATAAGGACTTGTGTTTTCATTTAAGGCCACCAAGATACTGCAGGATAATCTCTCCATTTCCGATTCTTTGATTCAATCACATCTGCAAAGTCCATTGTGTCATATAAAGTAACACTCACAGGTTCCAAGGATTAGAACCTGGTATATTTGCAGGTTATTATTTAGCCTATTGCTCCCCAGCAAAACATCCCAAAGACTTTTACACAGTCATCTAAATTGCACAGCAGCGATTTTCATTCATTCAAAGCTGGGTGTTTTAGAAATGAAATCAGAAATCTGTGCTTACTTACCCAGTGAACAAGAACATTCCATTTTAAAATATAGAATGTACTCATCTCTTTGATTTTACTTTAAGCTCCAGAATTCATGTGCAGAATGTGCAGGTTTGTTACATAGCTATACATGTGCCATGGAGGTTTGCTACACCTATTAACCCGTCCTCTAAGTTCCCTCCCCTTGCTCCCCTACCCCACAACAGGCCCTGGTGTGTGCTGTTCCCCTACCTGTGTCCATGTATTCTCATTGTTCAACTCCTGCTTACGAGTGAGAACATGCGGTGTTTGGTTTTCTGTTCCTGTGTTAGTTTGCTGAGGATGATGGCTTCCAGCTTCATCCATGTCCCTGCAGAGGACATGATCTCATATCTTTTTATGGCAGCGAAGTATTCCATGGTGTGTATGTACCACATTTTCTTTATCGAAGTGTACTACTCTTTAACTTTGCACAGTGAACAAGACTTGACAATTCTAGCGTGAAATCTCTGAGTATACGACATTAGCATATGGAGATTCCATGCTGTGTGGACCAGAGATGGCACACTGGCACTCGGGGGGCTGAATCCCAGATTTAAAAATAAGGAATTTCGGCCTGGCGCAGTGGCTCACACCTCTAATCCCAACACTCTGGGAGGCCAAGGGTGGCAGATCACTAGGTCAGGAGTTCGAGACCAGCCTGGCCAAAATGGTGAAACCCTGTCTCTACTAAAAACACAAAAATTAGCCGAGCATGGTGGTGTGCACCTGTAATCCTAGCTACTCGCAAGGCTGAGGCAGGAGAATTGCTTGAACCAGGGAGGCAGAGGTTGCAGTGAGCCAAGATCACGCCACTGCGCTCCATCCTGAGACAGAGCGAGACTCCGTCTCAAAAGAAAAAATGGAATGTCCTATATAAATTCCGATTTGGAGCCACCTGGGGTCCTTAGCCCTTCATGGTAATAAGAAATGGAAGAAATGTCCCCACCTCTTCAGGCTGGGTGTGTGCTCTGCAGCTCACCACAGTCCCCATTTTTTCCTTGTTGTCACTTGCCGTTTTTTTTTTAAGCTGTCCTTTTTTGTGTGTCCCTTCGTAGCCACTTGTTTTACTGGATGAAAAATATTTCTCTGTTCCTATGCCTATATCAAAAGTGACAAAGTAAAAGCCTGAAGAACAAAAAAAAACACCTTTTGCTTAAAGAAAAATTGGAAGGGAACAAAAATTGTTCTTTTTGAGAAGAGAAGAGCAATTTCTTACTGTTTGACAAGCATACACCCAGCTTCCTTGAGTCTTTTATTTTCCTCCTCTGCCCTGACAGCATTTAAATTCAGCTTCTGGTACAGTTAACACTGCTTGAGAAACGAATGGAATGTAGCAGCCTGTCCATTACCTTGAGAATTAGCATGTATTTCTAACTTGCAGTATTTCTAAATTCTACTTTGACTCTAAGAATTCACTTGGATAAATCATTCACTATAATGAATCTACACTTAGCACCCTAATATATGAAATATGCCCAAAACATAGTAATTTTAGTAGTATGTACACAGTACTATTATAAGTGCTTATGCATATATTATTAGTATATTTAACCCTCGTAACTCTACCAGGTAGGTACTATTACTATTATCCCTATTTTACAGAGAAGGAAACTGAGACACAAGTTACATGTCTAGGTTATACGACTAATATGGCAGAAATGAGACAGGAACCCAGGCTGACTGTACCAAACTTAAGGAAAAGGTTTCAAAAGATCATGAAATCTTTGGAGGATCTGAAAATGAGAGGAACAGAAGTAGTACTTTGTATCTCAAAGCCCAAATATGGAAACCAGTGATATGGCTATGCTCTTGTTGGCTTCATTCTGCAATTAAACATCAGCGAATCCACTGGAGCCATCAGCAGCACCAACAGGCCCACGGTGGAGGCAAAGTGAGGGACTGGTCCCAGTTTCCACTCAGCACTGACCTGCTGTGCCTCGGGGCATCTCTTGGTCCTTGGGTTTACTTTCGGTGGAATCAGGGCATTGGACTTGCTCTAAGGTGGTTTCTTCCTCTAAAGCTGTGTGATTCTGTGACTCTGAATCAGGAATCGAGCTAGTATTTGTCTAAGAAAAAAACGGATAAATATTTCTGCTTTTTGCATCACATGAACAAAGGTTAGTGGAGAAGACAGTACCACTGAAGGATCCCCTATGCTACATACCTTTCTTTCAAGAGACGCACAAGCACCCCATTGCCTCAGCCAGGCCCCAGTGAACATTAAACATCAATTCCTTCTCTTCCGAGATCACACATCACATCTTCTAAGCCTCCTGCCCCAACCCACACATATAGACCCAGAGAATGGCCCCTCTCCCTTGATGCCATAGTGCCTTGTCCTCACCTCACTGCTGGCCCCTTCCCCGTGGCAGTGACCTGCAGGTGCACCCTCTGCTTCATCCTCGACACTCTCCAAGATTCCTTTATCTTCGTGTTCTCACTCCACTGGCAGTAGCAAGTCCTCAAAGATTGTTTGAAGGGCCCAAATTTGAGTTTTAGTCTTTGCTATTTATTTTCTGTACCACCTTGGCTAAGTACCTCAAAATTCTCAGTGCTTCTATTTTGTCATACGCAAAATAAAGATAAACTGTTGGGTCCAACTAAAAGTTTAGAAGTTCTGAAGTGGAAGAACAGTGAATACCACAGAATAGCTGGGGCAGGGAGGCAGCCTGGGCCCTCCCACAACAATGCCCGGACGACTGAGTCTCAGAGAGTCACAGAAAGGCCCCTCCATGCAGTCAGATCAGGCCTCTGGCCTTTGGGTAAGGCTGTACCCAACTAACAAAGAAAGACAGCTTTATCTCTCTTTCAAAGAGTTCCAGCAAACCTCTGAAGTCAATGTTAGGATGTTCCTGGCTAGGTGACATTGGGAAAAACCTTCCTGTGATTTGCCCCAATTCCCTCCCCTCAGCTTCAATCCTCGGTGCAGGCAAAGAACATCTGCTGATGGCCAGCAGCTCGCATCAGGTGCCTTGCTCATTCACAGCCTAAAAAACGGAGGCGAGGGGCAGGGAAAATTGTAGTTCATTCTTTATTTTGAAATCTTAATCAATGAATTAATGCCATCATTACACATTTTCTAAGACAGAAGACAAAAAATTACAACAAACTTGGCGTTCTCTGGGAGTTGTGGTTTACCAGGCCCATTGACACCATTCAGTTCCTTAGAAGAAGCTTGTCGCCCTTTGCATTAATTATCTTACATGGAAAAGATTCTGTTACTTTCATTTATCCTCCTGGGAAAAGTGGATTATATGCGAAATCATTAGATGACCCTTCTCATGGTACTTCTGAGTTCCATTTTACCTTTACAGGTTTATAATTACACTTTGTATTCTAGGTTTGAATGTGTCCTAACTTTACAAAAGTCAGTGAACACTGTTAATTTCTTTTAAAAAGTTACTAGAAATAGTACATCTGGGTTTTCATTTTTCTCCTGGACGTAATTCTTCTGCCTCTGTACATTTTAGCAAGCAAAACTGTAAAGCATTTTGCCTCTTGGACTACTGCTTTTTTTCTGCATAAGGAATAGTAGCTACAAAGCCAAAGGGACCTTCTTTACATGGATCTTGCTTTGTCTTTACCCTGACAGAGGAGTGAATTAAAGATGCATTCAGCTATTGCATCAACTGGATGCTAACAAGAGAAGATAATCTGTTACGTCATGTGCCCTCTTCTGTGCCCCAGAAACTGCTTCATACCTTTACCATCCCTCTCCTCTTTCAATCCCAGCTTCTGAAAAAAGAACTCATCCTGCACTAGGTCCTTAATCCCACGAGAAGCTTCCACAACTCCCTGTCGCTTCTCTTACAATATCAAAGGTGCTCATGCCTTGAACCTTAAAAAAATTCTTCAATCGCTTGCAGATGATTTTTAAACTAGGACACACAGTTGGCTTTAGTGGACTGTAAAGAACTGATGTAAAGGTGAAATGTTAAAAAAATTAAAAAAAAAACAGCCAGAAAAACAAACCTTTACCCTGCCATGTGTGAAACTGTAGATGAGCTAGAATGAGAGTCCCCAGCTTAATGAAAACTGCCGAGGGTGGCAACAGTCCTGCTTGCCTGTGTTTCAGGGGTGGGCAAGATAAGGGATAGTGAAGATAGGGGAGTGACTAAGAGCATATCACATACAAGTTCATGTAGATAATAACTTTCATGATATTGGCAAATAAGTAGCTGGACATTACACAATAATACTTTACCTTTCTGGTTCTAAAGCATTATCTTTTATGGTAGTTACAAGGTCAGCCACATATTATCAGTATCTATATACATATTACAACACATTTGACAGAGGAGCTGATCTCAGGGTAAGATGCTTTCCTAGCATGTATAAAAAAAATCAAAATGAATTAACGTAAAGGAAGTAAAGGCTAAATGTAAAAATAAAATAGGGCAGGGATCAGCACACTTTTTCTGTGAAGGGTCAGTAAACAGGTTAGGCTTTGCAGGCTCTCCATCTCCATCACAACTTCACTCTGCCATTGTAGCATGAAAGCAGTCAAAGACAATATGTAAATACATGGGCATGGCTGTGTTCCAGTACAAATTTATTTACAAAAACAGGCAGCAGGAAGGATTGGCACACAAGCCATAGTTTGTCAAGCCCTGAAAATGAGGAAACCTCCCAAATAAGCAGAAGCACTTTAGTACTCTCCATAGAACCCTCATTTACCTGTAGGTTACAGGGCTACATACAAGCTGTGTTTAACCTTAGAATATAAGCTCTGTGAGGGCAGAAACATTGCTGTGTTCACAACTGTATTCCTAGTACTCAGTTCCCAGAGAATTGGCATAGTTGGCACAAGTACGGACTCACAATAAAGACAGGTTGAATGAATTAACTAATGAATGAACAACTTATGGAGCTTCAAAAGGCAATCCTGACCATAGGTGATTTTTCTGTACTACCATGTCCACCCTCACTGCCATCCTGTCATGCCCCACTTCTTTGCAAACTGGACAACTGTATTGGGACTACGGTACCAAAATTATGACTCCTTCTAAAAACTTTTACACTTATTTAGGAAAAAATTTGCTTTTCAACAGCTAAGATAACATGAAGGCATGTATATCTTACATTTTTCTCCCTCACCTTTGTCTTAGTTAAATCATTCTCTAGTAAATTCTCCTTTAAAGCAAAGGCAATGTCCAAGAGGGCAAAAACATTAATAACTATCTTCGGGGAACCACAAGTTCAAGCAGCTAGTAACTTTCATGATATTGCCAAACATGTAGCTGGGCATTACACAGCAGTACTTTACCTTTCTGGTTCTCAGGCATCATCTTTTATGGTAGTCACAAGGGCAGTTACATGTTATCAATACTTTATCACAGGTCATGCTTCACCTATAGAAAGGTAAAAAAATAACTCACACTGATCTCTCCTAAAAAAAAGTGTGGTTCTCATAAGCTCTGGGCCATTGTTGTACATTTATCAAGTGGCTACTAAGGGTTCTTGACATGGTGGGAAAAGCACCAAATGAAAAGTCAGGCACCATTTTGGCCCTTTCATTTCAAAAAAAGTGAGTTAGGATGACAATCATTTGCTAGGAACTACAAGTTCACACAGATAGTTACTTTCATGATATTGTCAAATACAGTTGGACATCACACTACAATACTTTATCATTTGGTTCGGAGGCATTATTTTTTATACAGCCATGATTAGCTTATTTGAAGATAAAATATAACTGAATGCTAATTAATATAGATTTGAATGCTAAATTCATTAGGACCTATGTTCAAAGCCTAATGTTGAAGAAACTTCAGACAATAGTTACAATTTTTTTTTCTGTAAAGGACCTTAATGATTATTCAACATCCTCACTTTACAGATGAGATCCAGAGACCCAGCTAAGAAGAACAGAATCCTTGTTATCTTCTGAGTAGCTTTTTTTTTCCTTTTTTTTTTTTTATTTGAGACGGTGTCTCGCTCTGTCGCCCAGACTGGAGTGCAGGGGCACGATCTTGGCTCACTGCCAGCTCCGCCTCCCAGGTTCATGCCATTCTCCTGTCTCTGCCTCCCAAGTAGCTGGGACTACAGGCTGGCTAATTTTTTGTATTTTTAGTAGAGACAGGGTTTCACAGTGTTAGCCAGGATGGTCTTGATCTCCTGACCTTGTGATCTGCCCACCTCGGCCTCCCAACGTGCTGGGATTACAGGCATGAGCCACCTCGCCCCGCCCCAAGTAGCATATTTTTTAAATGTGTGAATATAATACATGTTTTCTAGCCAACTAAAGATGTATCAAATGTTCCCCACGTTCCCCTTAGTAAAAAGCATATGAATATTTTGCTAATTCTGAGCCCACATAGTTTTAAAAAAAAGGGGGAGCAGATCTTTGAAGATGTGCTATCCTCAGACTCAAAGATGACTTCACATGTCAACATATGCTGGATTTGATTTCAGCCTGCTCAAGTGAGTGCCATGACAAGACACTCTTCCTACCCAGGAAGACTTTCAAAGCACAGTGAGTCAGGTACTTAATGTGCAAGGATAGTTCAGTTTCCTTGGAAGAAAATCAGGAATAGAAGCCTACTGTTTGGGTTGAGCGTTTCCCTAAAACCTGTTGAGTAGTAGTTTTTCCTAATATTGGACAGCACTTCACTAGGAGCAGACAGATTGAATGAGGATGCCCACATCAACCTTGGTACCATCTTGACATAGACCTGAACTGCTGCTTTTACTTCTTTGGTTGCAATCAAAGGCATCTCTGATTTTCTTTCTGCCACAACATTTCTCTTACTGCCACAACATTTCCTTAGCATTTTAATGCAATTCACCCCAGAAAATGATCTGTTTCACTAACTTCTTTTTACTAGGTAATTTTCTAGAACACATGTGTTTTTATGAGGAAGTTAAAACTGTATTTCAAAGGTAAGCACAACCACAAACTAAGATACAATTATACTATAATCCCAAAACATGTGTATAAGTCATCTGGCACACACCTCTGTTTGCACATTCTCCCTGTCAACCACGTCAGCCATAAACACTGAGGTCCACAGATAGGAGATTTCTAATACTCTAAACATAGGCCCTTCTCAGAAAGCGACAGTTATCAAAGACCACAGGTGAAAGACTCAACAGTTAAGTGAGATACTATTCACAGGCTTTCAGATCAACATACAGAGGGGTCATTAGACCCAGAATTCTCCCAAGGAACCACCAGGCAAATATACACACTCACACAGATCCCACAAGCAGAAACATTCATTTTATCAGGGCAAACATCAATAGAAGGGTTAGAGACCACTCCAGCTCTGCAAGATCCCACAAAATGAAACCGAGGAGACTGCTGCAAGAGCAGCAGTACAAAAAAAAAAAAAAAAATTTAAGCCGTAGTGTTCCTGGCAAGGTTCAGATGGAAAAACAGCAACAGATCCCAGAAGCAGAGCTGCAGCCAGGAATAACCTAAGCTCAAGCCATTTTAAGTAAGGGCAGGATAATACTTACTAAGGATTCACTGCATGGTTACCCTGGTTCTCTAGGCCTCCAGGCTGAGTGTTCAGGAATTGGACTCTGTTAAGTTACTGTCAAGGGACAAGCAGATCTTTATCAGGTATATGCTAGTTATGGGTAGGCACTATAGACCATCTTCACACCACAACTCAGGGGTGAAACTGCAGGGAAGCATTTTCCCTATTTTGCATGTGAGATTAATACTAGGAGATTTACAGAAGGCCACACAACTAATAAGTGGAGTCAGGCCCTTGTCCCAATTCTGCCGTACTTCAAAGCCCATGATACCACATTACCATGCATAAAATATGGCTCCGGCCCTAAAGAGGCTTAAACTAACCTAAACCAATCAGAGATCAATACAGCCAGTATAATGAAGGGCTAACAAGCAAGTATCCTGAGAAACAGAAAGAGAAAATATTTTAAGAGAAGTAGACAGGTAGGAGTCACACAGGAGAGTGAAGAGAAGGGAGGGGGTTTCTAGGGAAAGCACTATGAGCAGTGGCACTGCGGTGGGAAGGAGCCTGGCACCACTAGCAGGACAGCAAGAAAACCAGACTGCTTAGAGTGCAAAGATGCATGCTGAAATGAAAAGAGAATTTTAGACAGGAAGGGCGAGGCTGATTATGATAGGCCTTGAGAAGTCAGGCATAATATTTTAGACTTGAGATAGTACATAATGGAGAGAAACTGAAGGTTGCACATCCAGAATAGACATGATGAAGTGGTCATTTTAAAGATTAGACAGGCAAGAGAACACTGAAAAGATCAGAGGGAAGCTTCTCATTCATTTATTCAGCAAACATTTAATGAGAGCTTACTAAGAGTCAGGCTTGGGAGGCTGTTGCAGTACTGCAGGAGAGGAAGAATGAGGACTAGATTAGAATATAGAAGGAGGGATCTATATAAAACATATTTCAAAGGTCTTGATGACTCATTGATACAGAGGATGAAGGAAACGAAGGAAAAGATGGTTAAAGATAATTCCAACGTTTCAAGATTAACGTAATTTCCACTGTACTAGGAATCTCAAAAAGCAATGAGAGTAACAAACAATAAAGTATAAAAAGGGCTCTGATGATACTGAACAGTCAATAAATAAAACTCCTAAATGGCTTGTTTGACATCCTAGTAGTTCATTTACACTTAGTCTGTGGAGAAGAAACTTCAGTGAAAAGACCTTTTTTTTGTGATTAAATGCTGAGTTCCCTTGGCAAGGACAGCAGAGGTCTGCCTGATCAGACAGGCTCCATCAACCCTCCAGCAACCCCCTCCACCATCTGAACCTAGATTGGTTTCATTAGGAAATGTGGCGGCCTCGCCGCTGCCTGGCCGCCAGTTTTGACTTTGGAGAAGGGGACAAGGCAAAGTGGAAAGGGAGAAATAAAAAGTGGGCAGGGTCATTCAGAGAATGGGGAATGGTACCGGATGTCATTTTAAATAAAGGATCCCAGGACTGCTTTCCTTTCTATACTTACTTCCTAGTGTTTTACAAGTCCTGATCTCAAGTAGATAGGAAAGCCTTAAAGAGTCTTTACCAAATTGTAGCGCATTGTTCAGAAACTATTTTAAATGTGCATATTTATGCATATATTAACTCCCAGCACAGTTCAGCATATGATTGAGACACAAATTCTTCTTAATAATTTATATGTTGACTACAGAAATTTAAAGCTCATTTAAACTTTATATTCGGCAATGGTGACATTCACTATTGAAGCACACCCTGAAACCCCACTCACTGGGAAATGTGAGAAATGAAAACTGTAACTATCAAACTTCTGTTACTACAAAGAGTTCTCCCGGTTTAAAAAAAAAAAAAAAAACAAAACCCACAAGCGCCAATACCTTAGAGAAATCCAGTCCCGCTTGTAAAATTCAGTATGGAAATCCCTCAGCCTAGCCCAGCTCCAGCAAAAGCAGGTCTTATTTAGTTATAAGTGGAAAGGAATACTCTTCTCTGCAGAATGATGCATTAGCTACCTTACATATAAGTCCTTAATGTTAGTGTCAAAGTCAAACTTTAAAAGGTTAACATTACAAAAGAATCAGTTGTTCTGAAAAATCCTTCAATATCCTTCTCATAACAGCTACTCAGATTAATAAGAAAGAAATCAGAGCAGAAAGAAATCCAGTAAAAAAAATGGTTGCAAAATAAGTACGCGAGGATTTTTGCTCAGACCCCTTGTGGGACAGCCAAGGGCCTAGTCAGGGAAATTCCAAGAGCAAGTCCTCAACGTGCCCCGCAACGAGGCTTCAAATGGGCTAGGGTCTTCCCTCTCTTTAAGACTAAAAGATAAACACCCATCAAAATCCTCTAGGCTCCGAGTTTTCATACCAGGAAGGAGAGACCCATATGATCGCGGAAAGAAACTATAACCCATTAGCCTCTTCCTGCGCCTCCGATCCGTCAGGGGGCCACCGGCCAGGGGTCTCCCCGCAGCCCCAGCCCAGCAGCTACTAAAGTGACAGGTCGCCCGGCATAAGCCCCCAAATCCCGGAGCCCCACTTACTGGCGCCGCGAACTCAGGCGGGGGCCCGCCCCTGCGGTGAGCGCAGCTCCTCGACGAGCGGGGCACAGCCGCCAGCTCCGGAGCTGGAAATGGGGACAATCCCTGCTAAGACCGGCCGAGGGATGCGTGCAGGGACGCCCGCGAGGTCCGCCGAGTCGCACGGGCCGCACGGCGCATGGTAGTGCAGCAGGAACCCGGCCGTTTTCCAGCCTCCGGCAGGAAAACAAACAAAAGGCTGGGTGGCTTCTACTGGGGACGACCGGCTGCTTTCCCTGGGAAAAGTTACCCTGCAGCTCCCCTCGCTGGCCCTGCGCGTCCCTGCACCGCGTCCCGTTCGCCCCGGCTCGCCCGGCCGAGCCGCGCGGCGCAGCTGTGGGCCAAGGGCGGCACAGAGCCCAGGGACCCCTAACGCCTGCTGACCACAAGGCCATCTCCGACTCCAAACGAACGCCTCGTTGCTGATCGGCTCGATCAACCATCAAGACTTAGAAATATGGAGGCTGTCGATGGACGTTCTGAGCACATTTAATGAAAGGTAATCGTTGTGAAAACATTTTTCTTATTTGAAAAAACGTAGCTGAGGTGGCACGACATTAATGCCACCTAATTAAGTAATCAATGCCACTGAATTGGATTCAAAGTGGTTAAACAGCAAATTTCATGTTACCTTTATAGAAAAATAAAATGAAAACCCAATTGATTGTTAGCATTCCTTTGAACTCTTAACAGTTTTATGTTGTTAGCAAGTAGTTGTAAAGACTAGACTCTTATCCAGATGGGAAACTGACTCTAGTCAGATATCCTCTACACAACATGTAATTTTATAACATGTAATTTTATAACAAATTCATTTATGTCATAAGTGATATGGTAGACATTACCTAAAATCATCTTTATGAGGCTACAGGGCTTTGAATAAAGAAGTTGCTTCCAGGTCCCTGATTTTTAAATTTACATAATTGTTCTAAGCCAACAGTTGTTCAACATTAGCGGGAAGCATCAGAACCACCTGGAGGACTTGTTAAAACAAGTATCCGGGCTGCACTCTCAGATTCTGGTGCTAATGTTGCTGGGTCACACTGCCATAAGCAACACAAATTTAACCAATAAAGCAGTAACTCTTTAACACTTCGTGGACTGTTCTCTGAGTTTACAATTCCCGGCTGATCATCATATCAGTTTTTTCTCACTATTTTTATTTTTTAATTCTACAGACTGAAGATTGTTTTTTACTGAAAAAATCTATACCAAGGCCTGAATCCCTCTCTCCTCTTGATCTTGTGGAAGAAGCATGCAAGATACAAGATAGTCAAGCTTCTTTAGATTTCCTCTCCCAAATGGAAAAAGGTCATCTGGTCACTTGACGTATGTATAACATTGATATCTACCTTTGTGCTTACCTATTTAACAGCCAGCCCATATGGCAAATGAAAACTGAAAATCATTATCAGTGAAAAGATAGAGAGACATGACAAGGAATCTAACAAGTCATATACTACGGCCATGAAAAGCAATTTCTAAAGTAAAATGATCAGTTTTAGTCAAATTGTCCAAGCAGGTCTACCTGGCAAACAGAGGTCTACCTTTTAGCAAGAGTCTGCTAGGCTAGTAAGTCGCTTAGATCAGTAGTTTTGGCCTCAGGAAATTACAATCCTGTAAATATAATATGAGAATATAACCTTGTAATGAGGTCTAGTGTATACTGTGGAATTGACTGAAAATAGAAAATTAGTAGCTATGAAGCATAATAGTGTTTTAATGCTCAATTTATCTTTACAAATATTATTTTATTAAGCTTTAACTACTTGCTAGAAGAAACCATCTGTGTAATTGACCAGGCTATTTTAAACTAGCACTCAACATTTTAAATGAAACAGATTTGTTCTGAAACTATTTCAATACTTCGTTCTCAGTTTGTAAAAGAATCACATTTATCATTTTATTCTATTGTAAATCTTTAGATTTAACCTTTCCCCCCAATTTAAATTTCAAAGTCTAAATTTAAGGAGTTCTTTGGGAGGAAATTTATCCCTAAAAAGATTTAAGCCCTAGAGTCTCCTTTAAAACTAAAAACTTAAATTTTTGGCTTCTTTTAAACACTAAGGCATCTTTTATAGGTACCTGACTTACCGTGCAAATAAAAACACACGTATCCGAAGGGTGGATTCCAATGTTAAAACATGGCAGGCCGGGCGCGGTGGCTCACGCCTGTAATCCCAGCACTTTGGGAGGCCGAGGCTGGTGGATCACGAGACCAGGAGTTCGAGACCAGCCTCACCAACATGGTGAAACCCCGTCTCTACTAAAAATACAAAAATTAGCTGGGCTTGGTGGCGTGCGCTGTAATCCCAGTTACTAAGGAGGCTGAAGCAAGAGAATCCCTTGAACCCGGGAGGCGGAGGTTACAGTGAGCCGAGATGGCGCCACTGCAATCCAGCCTGGGCGACAGCGACACTCCGTTCCAAACAAAACAAAACATGGCATTTGGACTACCTTATTGTAGCTCGTTCTCCCTCCCCTTCACTCTCTCTCTCTCTCCCCTCTCCCCCAGCACTTTCACCTCCATTTCTGTGCCAAAGATGTACTACATTTTTTTTTTTTTTAGACGGAGTCTCACTGTCGCCCACGCTGTAGTGCAGTGGCGCGAACACTGCCACCTCCGCCTCCCGGGTTCAAGCGATTCTCCTGCCTCAGCCTCCTGAGTAACTGGGATTACAGGCGCGTGCCACCACGCCCGGCTAAGTTTTGTATTTTTAGTAGAGACGGGGGTTTCACCATGTTGGTGAGGCTGATCTCGAACTCTTGATCTCGTGATCCACCCGCCTCGGCCTCCCAAAGTACTGGGATTACAGGCGTGAGCCTCCGCGCCCAGCCGATGTACCGCATTTTTAATCTCTCCAGAATAGAATGGATTAGAAATTTAAACTCTGTAAACTCGTTGAATGTTTGGAAGCCTATTAGTTCCTGGCACCAGTAAAAACTTTAAAAACTCAGTATATGTTTGCTAAATGAAGGTAATATGAAGACTGTCAGTTTTCACAGGCAAACCCGTAGTTAAAAAATTTAAATTGTGTAAAAACAAAGTATCACCTGATAAACAAGTATATTCACTTGAGAAGAAATAAGGTAGTTTGGGCTTTAAGAGGTGGGGCGGAGGACCAAGTGTAAGTTCCGGTGCTCAAACCTGAGAGGCCGACTACAAATCCCAGAGTGCCTCGCGGGCGCCGTCTCCACGGCACTTGGGTTTCAGGGCCGTGGAGTCGCAAGCCCTTCTCTCACTGTATTATGGGATCTGTAGTGAGACGTGCCTTGCGTTGGCTCTTTCCTCCTGCTGGGCACCAAAGCGCGTCTTTTCCTCAACCTCCAGTCTGTCTGTGCTCTCAAAAACTTTAGTCGTTATAACAACTGTGACTGTTCAGAAGTTTGTTTTCCCGCATTCCTGGCGCGGGACTCTAGCCAGAGGCTCCGAGGACTTTGTTGCGACTGTCCCAAGCGTCCAGTTCGATGCTTCTCAGGGCGGCTTGCCTTAGGGGCCCACCCCTAAATTTGGGTTGTAAACATTTTTGAGGTCGTGCTTGTTCAACTTCGCTTAAGTGTTCACTTAGCCCAACACGCGGGTTGAGCTTGAGGTTCGGCACCCGGGCAGCCTCACCCAGCGTCAGGCGCGCGCCTACAGTAGGTCCGCGACCCCTAGCCTACCACGAGGCAGCCCGCGGGGCTGGGTGGCCGGGCAGCGCACACGGGCAGCACCGACACTGCGCATGCTCGGCGCGTCGGCGCAGGTTTGCGCAGCTGAGGGGGCAGCACCGCAGCGGCGTCCGGGGTCTCCAGTAGGGCTGACGCTCCGGTGTTCGCATAATCCCCTGCTTCGGCTGGCAACGGGCGTCCCTCCACTCCCCGAGTCCCCGGCCGCCGCCGCCACCCCAGCGCGCCCCGATCTGGCCCCCTGCCCCGCGAAGATGGCTGCCGTACGCCGGGCCCGCAGTTATTGCCGCTGCCTGGTGCGCTTCTCCGACCGAGAACTCTGCTAAGCTCTGCTGCAGACAGGCAGGAGTAGACACCCAGACACCCAGCACCCCTCCTCCGGGGGGCGGTGCAGTGGGGGCACGGAGAGCCCCTCGAGCGCAGCAGGCCGCCCCGCCAGCATGGTAACCTGGCCAGGGGGCTCGAGGGTGGACGCCGCGGGGCGGGAGCGCGGTGTGCAGGAGGGGCCGGGCCTAGGGCTGGGGGTCGGCGGGGACTCTGGGAGGAGTGGGAGCTTCACGGCCACCACCCGTTAGAGGGCCCTGGCCTGACAGGGAGTGCGTCGGGGGGCGGGGGTTGCCAACCCTGGCTTCTCCCCAGGGTTCCTTCCTGCTGAGCCTCCCCAACCCCCGCCGGGCTCGATGTGAGGAGGAGGGTTTGCAGGACAGCCGGGGAAAATGTCCCTTCTCGGCTCTCTGAGTATGTTGAACCAGTCTCGGTCCTCTCGAGGGATTTTATCAGAAGCATTGAGCATAGATTGAGGTGAGCTGTCACAGCGCCTGAATTCGGAAGGGAGCTCTGGTAAGCGGAGACACTTGTTGATTGTGCTTCTGCCGAAAAGCCAGGCCCACCGACAGGCCCTGCCGGCACCTTGAAGAGCCCTGGGTGGAGGACGCATTTACCCCGCGAGGCGTCAGTTCCCTGGGTAGTATGTTGGCAGGTGGTCCTGGCGGAGTGGGGTTGGAGGGTTCGTCTCTGCGGCGTCGGTGCGGTGCAAATGGAGAGACTGAGCTAAGTTGCAGAGTTTGACAGCGCAGATTCCATGGGACTGTTCCCTACTGGAATACGTATTCTCTGCCCTGTGCCTTCCTTTGGTTTAGAATAAATTGTTCATCTGAGAAACTAATCTCTGACTGGGGCTTAAAGAATCAGGGATGAAATAATTCCAAACGAATTAATTTATAGTAGACTCAAATATTTATTGCATAAATGAATGGCTGAATTTATTTTTATTAAATTAATCTGGAGGATGGAAAAGGCGTCAATTGCTCCTGCTCCTAAACTCTCAAAAGTAGTTCTCTGACCAGGATTAAGCACTTAGCCTTTATGGGTTTATTAATCCCACCTGTGAAACGGAGGTAACATGATGAAGACATGGGCTACTCATACACATGAACTACTCAAGTGAAGGTGATATTTAGGTCAAACTCGATTATGAAAAATAAAAGGAAAACTTCCAAGTGGTAACTGAGGCCCTACTTATTTCAAGTAGT